CGGCCCCAGCCGCTCCATGGCATGTGGGATCTTCCTGGACCGGGGCATGAACCCTTGTCCCCTGCATCGGCAGGCGGACTGTCAACCACTGCGCCACCAGGGAAGCCCCAATCCTTATTGACATTTTTATCTTAATGTGTAAACTTGTCTTTTTATTGGTTACAGACAAATTGTATGTGCATATATATTTTTAGTCATTTAGTACAAGGGTGTTTGAAATGTAATTCCAACGTAAATGGACAAGATTTCTATTTTCAAAGCAAACTTTAAAAAGCTGTCCCAGAAATATGAATTATGGTACTGATTAAGCGTCAAACTTCTTGAACATTCATGGAGAAAATCTAATGTAGCAGAACAATGTAGTTCATAAATAAGTCTTATTCTGTACTCATTTACAGCGGGGATCCACTGCATATCCACTCCTTTGTTGATTCCGCAGTTATTTGTTGTGTTTCTACTCTGGGCTGTGCACTGTGCTGAGGGTTGAGAGTGCAGAAGGTTCTAGAGCTCACATTCCAGACCATCGAGTGAGAATCAGTCTTTCAAGCACGGTATTTCCACTGGCTTCCAGTGTTTGTTTTAACGTTGACTTGGCCATGTTCACCTATCCCTCAAGGCCCTAATCTTATGTTAATTTTAAATTGTGGTTCTAAACAATGTTCATAATCCTCTACACCAAAGTTTCTGTACCTTGGCACTGTTGACATCTTGGGTTGGATAATTTTTTGTTGTGGGGGACTGTAGATGCCAGTAGTAAATCTACCCTCGCAGATGTGACAACCCAAAATAGCTCCAGACATTGCTTAGTGATCCCTAGAGGGTAAAATCACCCCCACTTGAGAAATACTGATGTACATCTAGTTTATTGTAAATGATTGCTACAGAATGTGCGCATCAGTTTAACTTTGGATGCATAAGGTTGTTGTCTTGCCTTTATTAAATGCTTAAAAGCATTTGCCATACTAGGATAATACTTTGCTCCTTACACATTAAATTTTTCAGGAGGATGTTAAGAGACATTGTAAAGAACTAGGAGTGTAATACTACTTCCAGTCCATAAGGAGCCTAGCCTGGGAATTTAGTTTCCTGTAGTGATTTCTTATAGGGATAGGTTATGATGGAACATTGTTGTCCTGTTTTAGGTTAACCTAACAAGTCAGGGATGGAGCCTAAAAGCTCATAACAAGGTCCATTATAGATTTCTTACACATTAATTTGCCTGACTCATTTAAAAGCTTCTGTTATTCCACATTTTGCAGCAATGAATTCCAAAATTCCCTGTGTACTCTGGAGTGAAGAAATAGCTTTCTTCCCCTTTCAAAACTCATCTGTGTCGAAAATAACTAAATAACTACTTATGTATTTATTTCTAACATCTGCATTCATATGGTGCCAGAATTTGCACATATTAACTTCATCTTTCTGATTGTTCTGCTGTTTTATGACTTTGAAATTTATTTGTGAAAATAGATTTTAGAGTGTTAGGGATAAAAGAAACTTGAGAAGTTATATAGTCCATTCCTACCATTTTACAAATTGGGAAACTGGCTCTTTCTTGACATTCAAGGCATAACTGATATTTGTAAACTATACTTGTTTCATTCTGGTTCAATAGCAAACTCCTTTATGCTTTTCAAATCAGGATAGGTAAATCCCAGGCCCGGCTAGAAACCTGATACAAAAAGGAACAGGTTTTGTCTCAAAAAAACCTCCTTGGGCTTGGAAACTGTACTTTTTCTAGAAAGATAGGGAGTATGTTTGTTTCATTAATATCATGCTTTTTTCGGGTTTACTTAGTATCTGGGCAAAAATATTTTCCATTGTGCCAGGACAAACAGTTTTAACACCTGACTACATTCAATCCATAGAGGAATTGTTGACTTTGAGAATCTCATAATGTAGCCGGAAAGTGCCCTTTTGTTAAGGAAGCAACTTCTTGAGTATAATTGACTAGCAATGTACAACATTTTATCAGAACCTTTTATCTTCTCTTATTCAAGGGGGATCGGATGTGGCACTTTGCAGTGTCTGTGTTTCTGGTAGAGCTCTATGGAAACAGCCTTCTCTTGACTGCAGTCTACGGGCTGGTGGTGGCAGGGTCTGTTCTGGTCCTAGGAGCCATCATTGGTGATTGGGTGGATAAGAATGCCAGACTTAAAGGTGAGTGGTGTTAAAAAAGCCTTTGTGTTTGTGGGACTAGTGCCTGAGCTAGAGAGAAACCTCTGTGACTAACCCACTTTGCGTCTGCAGCCGCCACCTGAGTGATGGGGTGCTCAGTGGCAGCACCTCTGCATGGAGGGTCCTGGGGCTCCTGCCCAAATTTGGGATGCCAGGATACTGAGTTTATAGATTTTGTGGGGTATCTTTTTTGTCTGTTCATAAATTACAAATGTTAATGATTAACACCATGGCACTTTTCTGCAGACCGTGTTAAACATTAATAGTTTACCTAACTCTGGCATCCTTTAACCATGACTTGCACTGGAGTGCGTTTAATGTGACGTTCCTGGGACAGCTCTAACATCTATCCTCTGGGTTACTGTGTTTTGTATAGGCAGGTGTGTAGGGGAAGTGAAAACAATGGATTCAGAAAAGAATACCTGAGTCTGGATCACAGAGAGCTGAATTATACATTTTTGAAGACAAAAGAAGAAATAATAATATACTGACATTTATTCTAGAGCATTAATTCTGAAATCATTAAGTATTGTATAGGAAAGAGAGAAAGTGAATGAACAGTTTAATTATTCAGAATATAAGGGCAATTTGGATAATAATTCAGGGCAAAATTTTCCTGAGTTCCTCAGTTGATAATGCTAAGACCTGGCCGTGTCTATCCTAGACACTGGGGAAAGACTGAGGTACCTGTTTCTTTCAGTGCAGGATAACTGCCCCCGGATAGAGAGCAACTGGATTATCAAATTCTAGGACTTGATACTATTAGTAAAATGGCTAAGATGGACATTTTTCTATTTTGAGAATCGATAGACCAAAACACATATAGAAAAAGGTTTTGTATCCTGGAAAAAAAATTCCTACTTATTTACATCATTATACATAGGAATGTGGGAATGTTATACATAGAGACCTTTAACCTTATGACTGTTGAACACTGAAATTGTAGTTTAGGATAGAATGTTGAGTTGGATGAAAAGTGTGGTGGGATAGCAATCTTGCACTTATCCTATGTAATCAACTCATGTGACAACCTCCATGAAAATCTTCTTTGATGTCTCTAGGCTGAGTTAACCAGAGACACTTTTTTTCCTGCACTCCCATGAAGCCTTGTTAATACCTCTGCTATTGCACTTATGCTCTTATAATTATCCTTTCACATGTCTACCTTTCCTCTGGTCTGTGGGGTCCTGAAAGCCAAGAACCTCATTCAGTTGATATTTAATAGCCTTGTGCAATGAATGAATGAATTATATGTTGGGATTTTATTTCAAATTAATTTCAGAAAGCAGTTTGTTTTGTCTCAAGGCTTTGATATAATCTTCCAAGCCAGAATGAGCTTTACTGTCCTTAAAGGCAAGAGCTGTAATTATACCTTACATATACAACCCTCTGTATTTTTCAAAGTGCTTTCAAAGTATTTTATTTGAGCATCAAAATGACCCCGTAAAGTAAGGAAGGCAGGTATGTATTATATCCTCGCCTTATAGACACAGACACAAGAGATATTAAGTATTCTGCCCTAGATCATCTTCCCTCGTGAGTGGCAGAGAAAAGACTACAAGGTGTCCTTACCTGGCATCCTAACCTGTCCTTATGCCAGCCCTTTATCTACATGGGTGCCTCAGTCTCAGAAAGTTGGCATTTTCTGTGAGAAAAGGTGTAGTTTAGAATTTCATAACAATGCAAATAGCTTTAGTAAATGGAACACACTGCTGCTTTATTCTTGGCAATTTTTCATATGTGCTCCCTATTTATGCATACGATCTTACCAAGTTCAGCCTGCCATCTAGGAGGTTATGGATTCCATGACCTCTTACTTAACCTCCTCCATAACCTCCTACATGTTCTTACTTTTGCCTAAGCTACAAAGGCCTGAGAGGTGGATCTCGTTTATGTAGTTAATATAGTTCTGTTTATAACAGTAAACTTTAAAGAGAATAAACTGAAAATGTGAAAATGAAAATGTGGTCATTATGAATGGCTTCAACTAACAGGAAAAATGAGGGGTAGTTCTTTATTCTGTCTGCAAGTTTTACTGGTCTCATGTGATATGCTGGGCCCTACTTGGAATAGTTGAGGCAGGATTTACTTCAGGAATATTTTTATTTCTTGTAGTACTTTGCATATGCATTAATACAGTAGAACAGTGATGTATGGTTAAAAACATCTCCTTTGAGATGTTTTGGTGTATGAACACTTTGTTTCTCTCTCTGTATAGTGGCCCAGACTTCACTGGTGATCCAGAATGTTTCGGTCATCCTGTGTGGAATCATCCTGATGATGGTTTTCTTACATAAAAAAGAGCTTCTGACCATGTACCATGGATGGGTTCTTGTAAGTTCTCAACAAGATTCTTGATGGTAGAAAATTGAATGTCTGTTAGTGGTAAAAGATGAAAACTCTTTGAGGGAGTGTCTTTTCACAAATAGGGCCTGTTAATTTTTTTTTTTTAATAACTGTATATTTACAAATTTAAAGATATCGGAAATACATGGAAGTCAGAGAAAAAACCAGCATGGAAATTAGAACATGTTCAAAATGGAAAGATAATTTTTAAAATTTAAACATAACATGTCAAAACCAGTAGGATACTTTGGTCTTTTTTTGTAATATTTGAGGATAATTTTATTAGTAGTATTACTAAAGAACAGTGATTATTTTCGGTCTATAGTCAAAGTATTTCCTTCCCCTTTGCTGGATGATTATTGTGTATAAGTTGTATTAGATGCATTTGAATGATAGAAAAATGATTCAAGTGTGGATCCTGTAGGGAGATTAGATGTGACACATAATAACTATGATACATGGTAGCATGGTTAAGTGCCTTGGAGAAAAATGGAGTTCTGGGTTAGCCATTTAGGTGGGCCTTGAAAGTGGGATGTTATTCTCCCAAGATTTCATTATGAAATATTTCAAACGTTCAGCAAAGTTGGAAGAATTCTCCACTGAACACCCGTATACCTACCACTTAGTTTCTACTTCTGCCATTTTATTATACTTGCTTTATCATATATTTATCCATTGGCACATCCATCTTCCCATCAATCCCTCTTTGTTTTTAAAATTTATTTTTGGAATGATGGACTGGCATTCATAAAGGCATGAAAATAGGGGAAGCACAGTTTCTCTGAGTGATGGATGTATGCAACACACAGAGAAAGTTTGAAAAGTGTAGGAAGGAGAGTTTCTATTGTCAGACTGAACTTGGACTTTATATACATTATGAAAATAATATTGTGTTATAGACCAAGTTTTTCTATGAGAGTGTATGTTTGTTTTTGTAATATAAGAAATTATGAAAATAGTATTACATTTTTCATTTTTTAAATGCAATTTCTCAGAAACATGTTCATGTGTAAATATAGAGCATGGAATGCAGTGTAAAGACAATGTGCTGCATTTGATTTAAAACTGATACACAGAGTTTGGTACTGCAGGGAACAGATTACATAATTGACTCAATGCAACTAGTAGACATTTATAACATGTTTAGATTTTTGCTTGGTTTGTTCTTTTTTTTTTCTAACAGCAGGTTCGTATTAGTTATCCGTTTTATACATATTAGTGTATACACGTCAATCCCAATCTCCCAATTCATCACACCACCACCACCAACCCCAGCCACCGCCGCTTTCCCTTCTTGGTGTCCATGTTTGTTCTCTACATCTGTGTCTCAGTTTCCACCCTGCAAACCAGTTCATCTGTACCATTTTCTAGGTTCCACATATCTGTATTAATATACTATATTTGTTTTTCTCTTTCTGACTTACTTCACTCTGTATGACAGTCTCTAGA